CTGTCAATCTGTATAGGTTGTAACCTGGGATCCATATTTCGTTGTCCAAGTGATCCTTTAGTGGGTCTCAGTGAAAGCCGCGAACATTGCCTTTGCCTCTGCAAGCAGTCCACGGATGAAAGGTTTTTTTGTTGTTTATTGCTGGCTTTAGACCCTGTATATTTGCAAAGAAGAATGTTATCGGACTGGTGGTATTGTTGTATGGGGGGGGATTTTTTTTCCGGCATTAGTATCTGTATCTGTTGGTTTGGAGTGGAGGCCATCGATTTGTGGTTCCACTCCAGGAATGACTGGATTTGGTGTACGGATTTCTGCCATTTCTGCCAGTTTTTTTTCCTTCCTGGCACTAAAAAACTCTCCCTCTTGAGTGGCTGGGCTCCCCCAGGTTTTCCCATGGCCTGGATGTTTTGTATCTTTTTGTCCCCTTTAGATGGTATGCCTGGCAATTTAAGTTATAGCACAGTCTTTCCTGTACTGAAGAGGTACACATTTCAGGGTGAAAAAGCTTACAGGAAGGGAGTTTGCATTTTCTGTTGTCATATGGGCATGACATTTTTCTAGGGTGGTCATAGTTGCATGCCCCATCTTTTTTTTCCAGTTTTTCCCAATGCCAGCAGATACCAATTTGATAGTATGTGCACAGGCTTGGTTTCCGTTTCCCTTTGGGGTTTTGTGACTGTATTCCCCTGTTGGTGCATGTTTCCCTGTCTTATTCCTATCCTCCTTAGCACCAACAATGGAGCTCCCACCAGTTGTTTTTGGTAATTTATCCTCACTATTGCTATTGGAGTCCTCTTGTTTGCTTTTTTCCTGCGGTATTTCTGGTTTGCAATATTGGTTTTATCTTATCTTTGACTACACTTGTTTCCCTACTATGGCTCCTGTCCTCTATGAGGTCATTTTTATGTATTCCTTCCTGCGTATAATTCCCGACTACCTGGACAAAATCTCCCGCTTCACCATTTCTGTCTACCCGGACAGTAAACTCCGCTTCACCATTTCTGTCTCCCAGGACAGCACCCCCAGCTTTACCATTATGTCTCCCAGGACAGTATCTCCCGCTTCACCATTACTGTTCCCAGGACAGCACCTCCAGCTTCACCATTACTGTCTCCCAGGACAGCACTATCAGCCCTACATTTATGACTACCAGGACATCACCTCCAGCCTTACAGTTTGTGACTACATGGCCAGTATCAAGGGCAGTACCTTCAGCCCGGACTTTTTATGTTCCCATCTGTTGTAGAAAGCTTCCAGGTTTTCTATGAAAGCAGCTTTGATGTTTATCCTTTTTTAATACCCTTGTGATTTTAGTCCACAGATTTTCCTCATTTGGGCATACCCAAAAAAAACTTCTCTGTTTTATACTGCTTTTTAGCTAGTTCTGGGATACTGCACAAGGAGCGTGACACCAATTTCCACAAAAAAGACAATTTATCCATGTGGTAGCCCGTTTGTTTGACCCGACCACAGACTACACACAGCTTCATAATGATTGGGAATGGTTGATTTACTGCAAGTCTACTAGCAACTCTTGAATAATTATATTAATAACCTTAAATGAAGCTCTAGCTATTTGTATTTCTGTTTCTAACTCTTTTTGTATATTGGACAGTTTACCGTCACGTTCCTGATTTTTAATGTTTGTGTTTATAAGGGCGCCTACAAACCCATCCGTTTACAGTCTGCTTTATTGTCCAACGAAAAATGTTTGAAACCAGGTCCCCGGGTTCGGACCAGTCAAGGGTTCGGGCCAGTCAAGGGTTCGGACCAGTCGATCGCTTCTGATCAGGGGGGTCACTTATTTAAAACATACTGGTCGGTTTATTTGAAACTACACATGAAGGATCTACTGGAAATTATCTACCCGAGTAATATGTGATTTGACTGATACAAAAGTATAACTTGGCGTGTTGAAGAGCCGGTGATATCTGGCAGCTCCTACAATGACGTACAGTCGACCTCTTTGTTTCTCAACGCTGTATCTGGCTTTTCTATTTTTGTTTTTCCGTCTCCACCACAATAAATGCTATATTATCACTATAGTTGGGCTGGTGCAAATTTTGGAGGAAGGGGCGCTTTTTCTGTAGTAATAATTGCTTCTCGTTGTGTAATTTTCGACCGCTGGTAACTACAGGTTATATGAAATTCACAGTAACGTTGTATTTTTAAAAAAATGAAGCTAATGAAAGTCACTCCACTCCACTAAGTACCATTATAATTTTGGTTAGTTGCTACTACAACACTGTATTCTGCTATTCACTGGTATCACTAGATTATATGCGAGTACACTAGCAGGCCAGGAAGATTATTAAAACGCTGACCTGTGGTAAGTTTCTGGCGACTTCTGGCACCTGCTCTATAGGCTTATCACTTCATTTCAAATTCACCTGTTTTCAAATGACACTTTAGCCTTTATCATCAATATACTAGGGAGCCACTGTAGTATACACTATCACTATTTTATACTCAATGCTTTCAGGGAGACTTTCTTTCCTCTGACACAACGTTCAATTATTATTATTTTTTTCACACGGGAAACAGGCCTATGATTCCCCTCTGGCAGTAAACTCTGCTAGGTAATGCACACTAATTCTCCTTTTTTGACTCAGTATATAATGTTTTCCGCCCAAGATTGGTTCCAGGCGCTAGAGGGATGTATCGTATAGGATTGATGACACAAATTAAAGTTCTAGCACGTAAGAGCGACCGTGAAAACACCAGAAAGCCGGGAGCACAACGAGGCACGCTGACGGTTGGTTAGTGGACCAACTTAACACTGGTTCATGATAAATTGTGTAACACTGGTTCATGATAAATTATGTAACACTGGTTCATGATTGTGTAACACTGGTTCATGATAAATTGTGTAACACTGGTTCATGATAAATTATGTAACACTGGTTCATGATAAATTGTGTAACACTGGTTCATGATAAATTATGTAACACTGGTTCATGATAAATTATGTAACACTGGTTCATGATAAATTGTGTAACACTGGTTCATGATAAATTATGTAACACTGGTTCATGATAAATTGTGTAACACTGGTTCATGATAAATTATGTAACACTGGTTCATGATAAATTATGTAACACTGGTTCATGATTGTGTAACACTGGTTCATGATAAATTGTGTAACACTGGTTCATGATAAATTATGTAACACTGGTTCATGATAAATTGTGTAACACTGGTTCATGATAAATTATGTAACACTGGTTCATGATAAATTATGTAACACTGGTTCATGATAAATTGTGTAACACTGGTTCATGATAAATTATGTAACACTGGTTCATGATAAATTGTGTAACACTGGTTCATGATAAATTATGTAACACTGGTTCATGATAAATTATGTAACACTGGTTCATGATAGATTCAGGTACTTCAGTAGCTTATAGATCTCTTTCTACTCACATTCCTATTTAATCTACTTTTCTACTAAGTTGTGGAGGTCAGCAGGTAGGTAGCTGTCTGTTGGGTTTCAATCCTATCGACGGCACGAGGGTCATTAAGTAGATTTTTTCAGGTTCACTTCACAAGTTCAGATTTGTACAATTGGTTTAAAAGTATTCTAGGATAATACAATAATTAAGATTTGTATATATAGTGAGAGAAAGACTTGCCTAATATGGGCCAGTAGGCCTGCTGCAGTGTTCCTCCTTTCTTATGCAACTCGCAGCGTATGTACCCAATCTGGGCTGCACAAAATCATATAAAAATGTATATATACCTTCTGAGTTATTATAATAAAAAGGAAGCGCTAAACCGCAAGGGTTATGCAGTAGTATACCGTCTGAGAGGATGTGAACACGTGGAGAGCAGAGCGTCCTCCGTTACCATAGCAACCTGAGTTCCAATATTCCAGCGATGTTTTAAATTTTAAATTCAAAATTCTTTGCGGGATTTGTATCCTCGGGTTTGTATGAATATTATTAGGTTAGAATCATTCATTGTCTGTCTTGTGGCTCGGTTGGCAGAGTACTTGTCTCACACACTGAGTGTCCGTGGTTCAATCTTGGGCATGGGTAAAAACGTTGGGTATGTTTCTTTACATCTGTTATCCCTGTTCACCTAGCAGTAAGTAGGTACCTGGATGCTAGTGGACTGGTGTGGGTGGCATCCTGGGGGACAAGATTGAAGGGTCACAAGGAAATAAAACAGACAGTCCTCGATGACGAACTGACTTTTTTGGGTTATCCTGGGTGGCTAACCCTCCCCTGGGTTATGCTGGGTGGCTAGTCCTCTCCTGGGTTATGCTGGGTGGCTAACCCTCCCCTGGGTTATGCTGGGTGGCTAACCCTCCCCTGGGTTATGCTAGGTGGTTAACCCTCCCCTGGGTTATGCTGGGTGGCTAACCCTCCCCTGGGTTATGCTGGGTGGCTAGTCCTCTCCTGGGTTATGCTGAGTGGCTAACCCTCCCCTGGGTTATCCTGGGTGGCTAACCCTCCCCTGGGTTATGCTAGGTGGCTAACCCTCCCCTGGGTTATGCTGGGTGGCTAACCCTCCCCTGGGTTATGCTGGGTGGCTAACCCTCCCCTGGGTTATCCTGGGTGGCTAACCCTCCCCTGGGTTATGCTGGGTGGCTAGTCCTCTCCTGGGTTATGCTGGGTGGCTAACCCTCCCCTGGGTTATGCTGGGTGGCTAACCCTCCCCTGGGTTATGCTAGGTGGTTAACCCTCCCCTGGGTTATGCTGGGTGGCTAACCCTCCCCTGGGTTATGCTGGGTGGCTAGTCCTCTCCTGGGTTATGCTGAGTGGCTAACCCTCCCCTGGGTTATCCTGGGTGGCTAACCCTCCCCTGGGTTATGCTAGGTGGCTAACCCTCCCCTGGGTTATGCTGGGTGGCTAACCCTCCCCTGGGTTATGCTGGGTGGCTAACCCTCCCCTGGGTTATCCTGGGTGGCTAACCCTCCCCTGGGTTATCCTGGGTGGCTAACCCACCCCGGGTAAAAAATCCCAACAAATCTTATCTTATATTTCATTACTTACCTTCACATGGAGTATTACGACACTGTTGATGGTGATATCTTTTATAAATGGTCTTACCACGATATTGGGAACCATATTTGAGTTAAAATGACAAGTTCAGAACTCAGTTAAAAGATCGTTATATTTTCTTTTTTGACATTAAATTCGTTTTTTTTGACGATATTGTAATCTTATTTTTGACATTAAATTCTTCCATTTATTTGACGATATGTTGTTAATCCCTTGCATGACAAACAGAGGATTGGAAATCTTGGGATTCTTAGCTTAGGAAGACAGGAAAGACCACCTGTATTATTGAAGATATTACTGTTGTCTAAGCAGTGGATGAACAACTATCATGTACTCACCTATAAGTAAGTTTATCGAGGTATAGGTACACATAAACAGTTAACATAAATTATCATACATAGCAGCATATGTGTAGATTACCCAGGATAACCCCCAAAAAAGTCGAAGTTGCTTCAAGGACCCCAATGGAAATAAGTTATCCTAGGTAATGTACACATATGCTGCTATGTATGATAATTTATGTAACTGTATTTATGTGTACTTGTATCTGAATAAACTTGCTGTTTCCATTGAGATTCTTGACTTATTTCCATTGGGGTTAATATGTCATGTAGATCAAGGTAGCCGAATAATGCCGTTGAGGTTTGATTATACAAAAATATTAAACACTAAGAGAGGCTTATTTAAGATATTTAAGAAGCCTGAGTAGATCTATAACTGATAAATTAGACACATGTGCAACTCTTGGGTATCTTTATTGAGGAAACGTTTCGCCACACAGTGGCTTCATCAGTCCATACATAGGAGAAACTTGAAGAACAGGAGGAGAATGAGGTAATCAGTCCCTCAACCTTGAGTCGATGTGTTCAGTCCATCAATCTTGAGTAGAATACGGCATGTGAGCGGAGAAGCAGCTTATAAACCGTATGGCAGGAGAGGTGCAGCAGTAATAGGTGGTGTCACATTTGTTCAATGTGGAAGTAGGTCGTGCCCAAGAATTAGGCAAGCGAAGAATTCCTAAGTATTAAGATCCCAAGAAGTTGCAGTGTCTGACAGGTTTGTAGATCTTAATACTTAGGAATTCTTCGCTTGCCTAATTCTTGGGCACGACCTACTTCCACATTGAACAAATGTGACACCACCTATTACTGTTGCACCTCTCCTGCCATACGGTTTATAAGCTGCTTCTCCGCTCACATGCCGTATTCTACTCAAGATTGATGGACTGAACACATCGACTCAAGGTTGAGGGACTGATTACCTCATTCTCCTCCTGTTCTTCAAGTTTCTCCTATGTATGGACTGATGAAGCCACTGTGTGGCGAAACGTTTCCTCAATAAAGATACCCAAGAGTTGCACATGTGTCTAATTTATCAACATGTCGGTTCTCTGAACCATTCATCTACAAAGATCTATAACTCACTATGATAACATGAACGTAGATAAGTATGTTTATGGAGCAGTTTGCAATGTGAACAGACTGACTTATGTTGTAGTGGCCAGGCTTAGGCTTGGTTACAAGTACTGACTGATGTTGTAGTTGCCAGGCTTAAGCTTGGTTACAGGTACTGACTGATATTGTAGTGGCCAGGCTTAGGCTTGGTTACAAGTACTGACTGATGTTGTAGTGGCCAGGCTTATGCTTGGTTACAAGTACTAACTGATGTTGTAGTGGCCAGGCTTAGGCTTGGTTACAGGTACTGACTGATATTGTAGTGGCCAGGCTTAGGCTTGGTTACAAGTACTGACTGATGTTGTAGTGGCCAGGCTTAGGCTTGGTTACAAGTACTGACTGATGTTGTAGTGGTCAGGCTTAGGCTTGGTTACAGGTACTGACTGATGTTGTAGTGGCCAGGCTTAGGCTTGGTTACAAGTACTGACTGATATTGTAGTGGCCAGGCTTAGGCTTGGTTACAAGTGCTGACTGATGTTGTAGTGGCCAGGCTTAGGCCTTAGATAAAACCAATATTGCAAACTAGAAATACCGCAGGAAATAGCAAACAAGAGGACTCCAATAGCAATAGTGAGGATAAATTACCAAAAACAACTGGTGGGAGCTCCATTGTTGGTGCTAGGGAGGATAGAAGAAAGACAGGGAAACATGCACCAACAGGGAATACAGTCACAGAAACCCAAGGCAAGCGGAAACCAAGCCTGTGCACATACTATGCACTTGGTATCTGCTGGCATGGGAAATCTGGAAAAACAGATGGGACGTGCAACTATGACCACCCTAGAAAATGCCATGCCCATATGACAACAGAAAATGCAAACTCCCTTCCTGTAAGCTTTTTCACCCTGAAATGTGTACCTCTTCAGTACAGAAAGACTGTGCTATAACTTAAATTGCCAGGCATACCATCTAAGGGACAAAAGATACAAAACATCCAGGCCATGGGAAAACTTGGGTAGCCACAGCCACTCAAGAGGGAGAGGTTTTTTTAGTGCCAGAAGGAAAAAAACTGGCAGGAAATGGCAGAAATCGTACACCAAATCCAGTCATTCCTGGAGTGGAACCACAGTCGATGGCCTCCACTCCAAACCAACAGATACAGATACTAATGCCGGAAAAAAAATCCCCCCCCAGTACCAACAATACCACCAGTCCGATAACATTCTTCTTTGCAAATATACAGGGTCTAAAGCCAGCAACAAACAACAAAATACCTTTCATCCGTGGACTGCTTGCAGAGGCAAAGGCAATGTTCGCGGCTTTCACTGAGACCCACATAAAGGATCACTTGACAATGAAATATGGATCCCAGGTTACAACCTATACAGATGTGACAGAGTGAACAGGCAAAAGGGGGGGGGTTGGCCTGTACATTGCAGAGTCACTTGTTTGCACAGAACTGCTTAATGCCTCCAAATGACGTAGTGGAAGTTTTAGCAGTAAAGGTCGAGAACCAAAACCTAGTCATTGTGGTAGTCTATAAGCCTCCGGATGCAACATCCCAGCAATTCCAGGAACAGCTGTTAAAAATTGACCACTGTCTGGAAAATCTTCCAGCTCCTGCACCCAACATCTTGCTCCTGGGGATTTCAACTTAAGGCACCTAAAATGGAGGAATATAGCAAATAATATTGTTGCAGAAATAACACCAGGAGGCAGCTCTGATGAAAACTCACACTCACACGAGCTTTAAATCTCTGCACAAAATTCAATTTAAACCAGCAAATAATAGAGCCTACTAGACTGGGAATACACTAGACCTCATATTCACTAACAATGATGATCTGATAAGAAATGTCACCATATCAAAAACATATACTCAGATCACAACATAATTGAGGTTCAGACATGTTGCGAGAGCCCCAGACCGACAAAATGAGACTAGTCACGAGGGAGCATTCACACCAAATTCAACTTCAATAACAAAAACATAAAGTGGGACCAAGTAAACCAAGTCCTAACCGATATAAGCTGGAAGATATACTAAGCAACACAGACCCAAACTTATGCCTAGAACAGATTAACTCGTGGCACTCGATGTATGCACAAGGCTTATTCCTCTAAGAAAAAGGAGGAGTAGATGTAAAATAGAAAGAGACAGCGCTCCCTTTACAGGCGACGAAAAGAATAACAGAGCGGCTAAAAGAGGTCAATATATCTGAAATGCGCAGGAGACACTGGTCAGAGAAATAGCAAGCATAGAACTTAAGCTAAAAGAATCCTTTAGGAGTCAGGAATCGCGGAAGAACTAAAAGCTATAAATGAAATCGAAAGAAACCCAAAGTATTTCTTCTCCTATCCAAATCAAAATCGAGAACAACGCCCAGTATTGGGCCCCTACTTAAACAAGATGGGTCCTACACAGATGACAGCAAGGAAATGAGTGAGCTACTCAAGTCCCAATATGACTCAGTTTTAGCAAGCCGCTAACCAGACTGAAGTCGAAGATCAAAATGAATTTTTTATGAGAGAGCCACAAAATTTGATTAACACAAGCCTATCCGATGTTATCCTGACGCCAAATGACTTCGAACAGCGATAAATGACATGCCCATGCACTCTGCCCCAGGGCCAGACTCATGGAACTCTGTGTTCATCAAGAATTGCAAGAAGCCCCTATCACGAGCCTTTTCCATCCTATGGAGAGGGAGCATGGACACGGGGTCGTCCCTCAGTTACTAAAAACAACAGACATAGCCCCACTCCACAAAGGGGCAGTAAAGCAACAGCAAAGAACTACAGACCAATAGCAATAACATCCCATATCATAAAAATCTTTGAAAGGGTCCTAAGAAGCAAGATCACCACCCATCTAGAAACCCATCAGTTACACAACCCAGGGCAACATGGGTTTAGAACAGGTCGCTCCTGTCTGTCTCAGTCTACTGGATCACTACGACAAGGTCCTAAATGCACTAGAAGACAAAAAGAATGCAGATGTAATATATACAGACTTTGCAAAAGCCTTCGACAAGTGTGACCAGGCGTAATAGCGCACAAAATGCGCGCTAAAGGAATAACAGGAAAAGTCGGTCGATGGATCTATAATTTCCTCACTAACAGAACACAGAGAGTAGTCGTCAACAGAGTAAAGTCCGAGGCAGCTACGGTGAAAAGCTCTGTTCCACAAGGCACAGTACTAGCTCCCATCTTGTTCCTCATCCTCATATCCGACATAGACAAGGATGTCAGCCACAGCACCGTGTCTTCCTTTGCAGATGACACCCGAATCTGCATGACAGTGTCTTCCATTGCAGACACTGCAAGGCTCCAGGCGGACATCAACCAAATCTTTCAGTGGGCTGCAGAAAACAATATGAAGTTCAACGATGAGAAATTTCAATTACTCAGATATGGTAAACATGAGGAAATTAAATCTTCATCAGAGTACAAAACAAATTCTGGCCACGAAATAGAGCGAAACACCAACGTCAAAGACCTGGGAGTGATTATGTCGGAGGATCTCACCTTCAAGGACCATAACATTGTATCAATCGCATCTGCTAGAAAAATGACAGGATGGATAATGAGAACCTTCAAAACTAGGTGAGGCCAAGCCCATGATGACACTCTTCAGGTCACTTGTTCTATCTAGGCTGGAATATTGCTGCACTCTAACAGCACCTTTCAAGGCAGGTGAAATTGCCGACCTAGAAAATGTACAGAGAACTTTCACGGCGCGCATAACGGAGATAAAACACCTCAATTACTGGGAGCGCTTGAGGTTTCTAAACCTGTATTCACTGGAACGCAGGAGGGAGAGATACATGATTATATACACCTGGAAAATCCTAGAGGGACTAGTACCGAACTTGCACACGAAAATCACTCATTACGAAAGCAAAAGACTTGGCAGACGATGCACCATCCCCCCAATGAAAAGCAGGGGTGTCACTAGCACGTTAAGAGACCATACAATAAGTGTCAGGGGCCCGAGACTGTTCAACTGCCTCCCAGCACACATAAGGGGGATTACCAACAGACCCCTGGCAGTCTTCAAGCTGGCACTGGACAAGCACCTAAAGTCAGTTCCTGATCAGCCGGGCTGTGGCTCGTACGTTGGTTTGCGTGCAGCCAGCAGCAACAGCCTGGTTGATCAGGCGCTGATCCACCAGGAGGCCTGGTCACAGACCGGGCCGCGGGGGCGTTGACCCCCGAAACTCTCTCCAGGTAAACTCCAGGTTAGGCTTGGTTACAAGTACTGACTGATGTTGTAATGGCCAGGCTTAGGCTTGGTTACAAGTACTGACTGATGTTGTAGGGGCCAGGCTTAGGCTTGGTTACAGGTACTGACTGATGTTGTAGTAGCCAGGCTTAGGCTTGGTTACAAGTGCTGACTGATGTTGTAGTGGCCAGGCTTAGGCTTGGTTACAAGTACTGACTGATGTTGTAGTGGCCAGACTTAGGCTTGGTTACAAGTACTGACTGATGTTGTAGTGGCCAGGCTTAGGCTTGGTTACAAGTACTGACTGATGTTGTAGTGGCTAGGCTTAATCTTGGTTACAAGTACGTGACTGATGTTGTAGTGGCCAGACTTAGGCTTGGTTACCAGTACTTTTGGCAGTTTGGAAGACACAGATGATGATCAAACTAAATGCAAATTATGTGATCAGGCATATGGTCACTGTCTTGAACACTTATGTGCTTAATTGTCCACTTATTGAGGAATACAGAGATATACAGTATAATAACCTATGTGACATGTCACGATATCTTATTAATGAAAATAAGGTAAGATGTAACACTAAGCAAATTTCCCAAATGTGCTTGTAACAAATAAGTGAAATGTAGATAAAAATCCAAATGCACACCTTTTAACCCTTTTGGGGCCTAGTTCCTGGGCCTTTTGTGTATCCATATGCTCTTGCATTACCCTCCACAGGATAGATATGGGGTGCACAATAAACTAGCCACTTGGGTGGCAAAATCTAAATCCTTGAAAAAATATAATTGGAAGTAGTAGTGAACTTAAAAGATAGTATTGATTCTAGATCACATGTGATTTATTCCAACAACTCAGCTGATGAGGTAGTTTAGATATTAGCGTTGAAAATAACGTGTGCGAAGACATATATTGTGGATATTGAGATAAATATCTGTGTGTAGTGTATCTGGCAACCTCAGCAACCTCCTTGCGGTACCCAGATGTAGTTAGTAGAGGTTCAGTGAACGGTTGTGTTTGACGTTTTCTGTTTTATAACATATATTTGACCATGGCCCACTTAAACTCGATTCCACTGCCCAGTAATAGAGGCAAGGGACAGATACAGGTAAGTAGAAGGTCAATTTCGAGAAATAAACAGTGGTATTTCTCAGTTCCTTAGTCGTATATATATCAAGAACCATTGGGGATTATTTTATTTACTAGATTATTAATTTATACTTATCAAGTGTAAAAGGTTATTTATACACTTCACACACATTAACCACAAAAAATATGCAAACATATGTACTTAAGTTTATTCTGTGATTCATATTTGTAACTTCCTGTTATGGTACTGGCCATAACTGTCTACATTCTTCATTCATGTTGCAACTCGATGGCTCGATTATTGAATGCCAGAACCTCGATAAGTGTATTGATTATCAAGTTATAACATGACTGAGACTGCTGTTATGATGATGTTACAAGTAACTGTGCTAAAGATCTTGGCGGGAAGAGTTCTCGTTTTGGCGGTAAATTTTATATTTATATAATGGGGAAGCGTTAAGCCAGTATGGGTCATAGATCGCCTGTGTAATGTGAAAGGTAATCAGGTTTGATCCAAGGAAGGAAAGGATAGCTATAATTCATTAGATCAAGAGCTCTTCACCAGGATCTATGCACCCCATGATGAATAGTCTATATTTTTTTGACAGGCATCATGTTTAATGGTTTTAGATAGTAAATCGTGCAAAATTGAACTTTGGGTAATTGAAATACACACTCGGGGCATTTTATTGCGAGTTATACCTACTACTAGTAGCAGGTATACCTACTAGTTGTATGTTTTGCACAGTAATTTTGAAATAAAGCTTTGTATTTTGAGTTGTAGTACTTGTATATAACATTTTGTTGCGAGTTATGCATGGTACCGGTATATAACATTTTCATACGAGTTATACCTAGTACTTGTATATAACATTTTTATTACGGGTTATACATACCTAGTACTTTTATAAATATTTTATGGGTCCCCCCCTCTCTCTCCACACGTGTTGCCAAATGGTGAATTTTCAGATGCAGAGCCTTGTAGATATACGTGCCCAACACTTAAGTACCAGCAAGTACCAGTTTCATGCCTGTTTATATTTTTGCTAAGAATATTACTTCAATAGATCTGGAGTTTATTACATATCTGTAATTTTCCCCAGGATGCGAATCACAATAATCAATTGAAACTTTAAGCGGTTAGGTAAATAAATGAATCGATAAGCTTTATTTCATAATATATAGTACAGTATATACACACAACACTGTACCATGATTTATTATACATACACCACATTACATTACATCACAGCCTGGTTGATCAGGCCCTGAACCACCGCGAGACCTGGTCACAGACCGGACCGCGGGGGCGTTGACTCCCGAAACCCTCTCCAGCTAAGTTTATTCAGGTATACACAAATACAGTTACATAGAGTATCATACATAGCATATGTGTAGAGAACCTAGGATAACCAAAAAAAGTCAGAGTGACTTATTTCCATTGGGGTCCTTTAGGTATACTCCAGGTATTTCACGGCTAAAGCATACTTCTCCTTGCTGCATGATTTTGTAGCCAACTTACTCTAGATTTCATTACCTGGAGTATTACATCCAAAATTATTTCAAGAAGAAAAAACATACAATATACAGTATGGGTCAATAAAGCCTATGGTAAGTACATGAAATATGAAATTCCCGTTTTATACGTAACATTAAAAAGTACAGAACTCTTATTGGAAATACTTAGCTTGCAATAAGACTACATAGTCTGAATAAAAACTTATATAACATAAATGTACTTTAGCATTATCGCCAGAATTATGTGGGTATATCGCTGTATTTACAGTTTAATCCCTGTTCGAGGGATTATATTTTTTCTTGATTGGTGTACACATGGTATGCAGGAGTACATGCCTGGTACTCTCAAACACTTTTTTTTTTAATTCTCAAACATTCCTTGGACGAAGAGGGCAGCATTTTCTTCATTTAAAAAATTAAGTAACTTCAAAATTTAAATACCATGATCCCGAAGAATTTACCAGTTTTCTTCATAAAGTAAATTAGTAAACAAAGAATTTGAAGACGCATTTAATATAATATATAATATAATGAGTTTGAATTTAGTGAATGATATTTGAGGTAGGAGAGGTGAGAGTACGATAGTTTGTAGTTGTGTATAAGACCGAGTAGCAGTTGAGTTGTTTAGGTTAGTGTGGGATGACAGTCACGAGACCCAGGCTCGTCTTACCTCCCAGGATATCCTTCATGTACCGGTTTTACCGGTTGTGAGACAATCCAGCGGCCCAAAACTGTCCATCATGGAGAGATACGACGAGGATCTTGGCGAAAACAGCTTCTTCCAGGTGCTACGAAGGGAGTACGTGGATGTATTGGAGAGGGCGGTGCTGTCTGGCTGGGTCATCTGTGTGCCCAGGACAGGGGCGTTACCCAAGTATGCTCTAGCCAAGGATGACATATTTGGGCATATTTTAGTGCCTAGTGATGAATTACCGGAGACGCATTTCAGGACACTTACTGACAGGAATGTTGTGTTGAATGGCAATGTGTTGGTGCTGGAGAACAAGGTGTCTAATCCTCATTCAGTCCATATACTGTTTGAAGAAACTTTTTACGATGATGATTTGAGAAAGTACAAAGTGATGTGCCTTGAAGACCCACTCTATGCATCCAATGCTTTTGCTCCATCAAGCTGCACGGATCTCATCATACTTCACTCTTTGCGAGATTGCATTGATCTCCTCTGGACAGAAGGTGGAGGTGGGAAAGCTCTCGAAAAATTGGATTTTCTAGTCAACCAGTTTCTTTTAAGACATCAAGCACTGGAAGAGGAAGGACTGCAAAATTTAAGGGACCTTGGGAGTGAACTGTTCTCTGAAGCCATACAAGTGACTCTGTCTGAACCTAGACTTGGAGAAAAAACTAAAAAAGATCAGTATCTTCTTGATGCTGTAAAACTGGCTGTGGAGACGTATGTGTTGCATGGTGTCTACAAGCCATTAATGAAAGGCATTGCTGCTTGCAAAGCTGAAGATGATGCCAGGCTTAATAGAGTGATAAAGAATCTTTCAGACTTGCAAGTAAGAGATCTAGATATTGATCCACAGCTGCTGTGCAATCTTACAAAAGCTAAGTCTGAGTTAGCTAGTATTGAAGGCCACACTACACCACTTGGTAAGTTGGGTTGTCTAAAGAGGGCCATTTCGCTAGTAGCTGTGCCTGGTACCATTTTTTCATCTGATGAGCTCCTACCAACGTTACTATTCTTAGTTGTAAAAGCAAATTTAGCGAACTGGTATGCCCACGTAGCATTCCTGAAACTGTTTCGCTTCTCGGCGTCTAGCAGTGACAGTGGGGAACAGAGTTTCAATATTTCATCCCTTGAAGCAGCAATAGAACATCTTTATTCTGGATCGCTCTTCGGCTCCACAACACCTGAAGCAGACTCTGTCTTGCAGCCTGGGTGTATGACAACTCCGGTTTTAAAAAGTATGGAGGAGGCTCTTGGATGTAGTGGAGTTGATCCCATGGCCCGTTTTTTTGAGTGTATTCGCCTAGGCAAAGTAGAAGATGTGAAGGATATTTTGGATGGAAAATACAAGCCTTTCCAAAAGGAAATTGAAAGTGAGCCCAGTTTGGTAGAGGCGGATGCTCAACTATGTCATCCACTTTGCTCATGTGATCGATGTGAAAAATTGATGTCAAAACCTAAGAAAGACATAATGCCAACAGTTCATACAAGAGAGGAAAGAGGGTATACTGGCCTTCACGTTGCTTGCATATTTGGACGTCCAGCAATTGTTGATATGTTGATTACTCTTGGAGCAGATTTACATGCCACAGATTTCCGTGGTGCCACACCACTGCATTATGCTGCACAGCGTGGACATCAGAATGCTGTCTTGCTCTTGCTCCATGCTGGTGCTGATATCAATAAATGTGATGGCGATTCAAATACACCATTACATCTTTGTTCGTTAAACGGACATGTTGCTTGTGTTAAGGCTCTACTTTTTTATGCAGAGTCTATTGGCTGTGATATTGCAATAAATGCACAAAATAATGTGCTTGACACACCACTGCATCTTGCAAGTAGATGGGGATATTCTGCCATTATGGAATTGCTTCTTGACCGAATTGTCATCTTAGGACTAGAGTTGAACGTTTACAATAACAGAAAACTTACTGCTTTAGACTGTGCACATAATCGTCACATTGCAAGACTTATTTTAGATGCAAAGGTGAGAAAAGATGAACTCGAAAGCTATGTGAGAATAGACTTGAATTTTAAAGTTCCTACTGATGCTCCACATGAAAAAAAGTTAGACTTTAATAAACATACTGAAAATTCCAAGGTTCACAAAAATATTAATTGCAGGGATGATACTAATCGACTGAAGCACATAGAAAAATTGCTTAAATCTGTAAAAGTTGGTGATGTTAAATTAGCATGCTTTTATCTTGGTATAGAGGAGAAGACTACTCACAGTGATGCTGTATCCCCTAAGACATTGTGCCACCCACTGTGTCAGTGTTCAAAGTGTGCTCCTAACATTCATCTTAATCAAGAATCATCTGAAACCTTTAATACAATGTCAATCAATGCTTGCAATAGTGATGGTTATTCTGCTCTTCATGAGGCTGTCATTAATGACCATCTTCACTTAGCTAATGTATTGCTGAGTCATGGAGCTGACCCTAATCTTCAAACCTTCAATAGGAGATTGACTCCCCTGCACATAGCTGCTCAGAATTGTAATCTTGAAACAATGCAGTCACTCTTAGTTCATGGTGCTCAGGTCAACCTCCAAGATATATGTGGCAACACAGCCCTCCACAATTGCTGTGCAAAAGGGTTTGATCAGGGTGTGATGTTGCTATTGGAATGGAAGGCCACAAAGGATGTCTCAAACTTATCAGACAACACGCCTGCCCAGGAAGCTGAGAAAAGGGGACATTGGCATATTGTGGAGATAATCTTTGGCAAACCTGTGTCATATTAAATTTTGACACCATTTGCATAAAAAGAAAATTCTATCAAGAATGCCCTAATTATTTTATGGTTAGTAGGGAAGTTATTATAGTTAGCATTATTTTGTTGTATCCTTTATTATTAGATATCCTTTCATTTAACTCATTTTGTCTTTGTCTTTGACCTCTTGCTATTACTTTTTCTTTACACTGTCATCAGCCATCACACATTACTGTGCAGTGCTGGATGACCTGCACAGGTTTATGGTATTTGATATTGTGAATTAAAGCAGCTGGTAAAATGTATGGGATCATTTGCTAAAAATTGTCATATACGTATTTCACTGCTGTTCTGTTGTTCACTATTATGCTATTCCTGCTGCTACTATTATTATACTGTTACTAAAAGTACGGTACTACATTATTACTACCATTATATTCATTAAGCCCACAGTACTGTTACTACAACTGTTATTACTGGTTACCTCTTATTATATTTTTTTTTTTTTTAGAACATAACCCAAAAGTTCCATGAGCAGAAATGGCCTAATTTCCTAAGCAGTGTTGTTAATGCTAATGTTCATGATCTAGCAGCCTACAGAAGACAAAAGAAGCCTTACATAAATGGTAACCTCATTTGAATACCCAGGTCCATGTATTTTCCTGTAATAAGTAATATTTTATAGTGGCATTTTAACACTGGCCTTCTCCCACCAAGGTAGGATGACCCAAAAAAGGAGAAACACTTTAATCACAATTCATTCAATTAAGTGCTGTCATGAAAGAAGCATGATGACATCACAGCTCAGATGACCCTCCTAACTGCAACATCTCCACCCATCCTTGAGTGCAGGCACCGCACTTCACACCTTCAGGGTTCAAGTTCGCCTGACCAGTTTTTCTGAATCTCTGTATAAATGTTACTTTGCTCACACTCCAATGTCATGTCAAATCGTAAAAACCACTTGAATTCATTTGCCCTTATCCGACATGCACACACAAGCCTGATGGATGTCCAAACCCCCTGGCACTCAAAACTTTCCTTAACCCCTCCTTCCAACCCATTCTGGGATGACCCCTACCTCCTTCCTTCTGCCTCTTATTTACATGCATTCCTAGTCATCTTGTTTTGCTCCATCCCCTTTAAATGTTCAGATCACCTCAAGAACCCCTCCCCTGTCCTGTGAAAAAAATATTTTTAGTAACCCAACACTACCACCTAACCTCTAACCAAGTACCAGGGTTGGTTAGAAAGTAACTGTAGCATTGTTTTGAAAAAAAAATACAGTAAACCCTCAATTTAGTCAACTAATTGTGGGTGACCAGCAATGGTGATTGTGTTGGATAGAACTGAGATTGTTTTACTGTGATTGTATCAATAATGAACAGTTTTGTAGCCAATGGAGTTTGTCCTTTTCTGAATCAATTAACCCATGTGTTTTGTCCTGTATTTCCAAAGTCTAATAAATCTAGGGATTGCTGTACTGAGGAGAGTTATTAAACGGAGAGTTAGAGGTACGTATTGGGAAGATGGAGGGAATATTTTGAGGGATTGTTAAATGTTGATGAAGATAGGGAAGCAGTGATTTTTGTGTACAGGGCAAGGGGGACTAACATCTTATAGGAGTGAGGAAGAACCAGTTGTGAGTGTGGGGAAAGTGCATGGGGCAGTGCATAGAACGAAAAGGGGTAAAGCAGCTGGGATCGATGAGATAAAGATAGAAATGTTAAAAGCAGTTGGGGATATAGTTTTGGAGTGGTTAGTGTTTTTATTTAATAAATGTATGGAAGAGGGTAAGGTACCTAGGGATTGGCAGAGAGTATGCATAGTTCCTTTGTATAAAGGCATAGGGGACAAAAGAGAGTGTAAAAATTATAGGGGAATAAGTCTGTTGAGTATACCTGGTAAAGTGTATGGTAGAGTTGTTATTGAAAGAATTAAGAGGAAGATGGAGAGCAGGATAGCAGATGAACAGGGAGGCTTTAGGAAGGGTAGGGGGTGTGTAGACAAAGTGTTTGCAATGAAACACATAAGTGAACAGTATTTAGATAAAAGTAAAGAAGTTTTTGTGTCATTTATGGATTTGGAAAAGGTGTATGATAGGGGGGCAGTGTGGCAGATGTTGCAAATGTATGGAGGAGGGGGTAGGTTATTGAAAGCAGTGAAGTCTTTACACGCATAGTGAGACTCAGGTTAGAGTATGTAGGGAAGAGAGAGATTATTTCCCAGTAAAAGTAGGCCTTAGACAGGGATGTGTGATGTCACCATGGTTGTTCAATATATTTATAGATGGAGTTGTAAGAGAAGTGAATGCTCGGGTGTTGGCAAGAGGTGTGGGGTTAAAAGATAAAGAATCTAACACAAAGTAGTTGTCACAGTTGCTCTTTGCTGATGACACTATACTTTTGGGAGATTCTGAAGAGAAGTTGCAGAGGTTGGTTGCTGAGTTTGGTAGGGTATGTAAAAGAAGGAAATTAAAAGTGAATATAGGAAAGAGTAAGGTGATGAGGATAACCAGAAAATTAGGTAATGGAAGATTGCATATCAGATTGGAGGGAGAAAGTATGGAGGAGGTGAATGTAATCAGATACAGTGGACCCCCGGATATCAGCCGGTGCGGATATGGGCCAAATCGGATTTCTGCTGCTTTTTTTTTTTTGTCCAAAATTCTATCCTGGATTTTGGCCGGCAACTTGGAAATCGGCTGTATTGGACACGTCCGCCCGCCACTCCACTGCATTCATGAGTCAGTTTGGCTGTGTCTGGGTGAGTGAGCAACACACTGCCCATTCATCTAAACATTTCATTATAATCCATTGTTTTTTGTGGTTGTTTATTGAGTGCGACTGCAAAATAAGTTCCTAGTGCCAGCCCTTGTCCCACTGAAGGCAAATCTTAAATAGACCCCAGAAACAGACCTCTCTGGGAAGTTTTTTGTGCGACAGGGGTGCACCGAATCTCAAGCTGGTTCTAGTGCTAGTAAAAGACAAAGAAGGGAATTAACCCCAGATAGGGACTTGATACCTGAAGTCCTTATGGAGGGGGATTTACCTTTCAAACAATAATCAGTCCTCCCTGTCTTCCATATGCCAACAAGAACCTTCAATAAAGTTAAATGTGATGTTAAATGTTCATTTATCCATTTCATTAGTCATTTTATTTAATTCTCATTGTTTTGTGTATGTATGTATTTTTTTAAATGTATTTTTTGTTAATATTTTTGGGTGTCTGGAACAGATTAATTGTATTTGCATTAATTCTTGTGGGAAATATTACTTCTGTTTTCGGATTTAGGCCGACCTTTTGGAACGGATTATGGCCAGAATCCAGGGTTCCACTGTACTGTACACAGTACGTACTGTGAATAACTTGAGAGGTTCCGTAATACCAGTGACGAGCTCTTTAAGCTGCCTTACCCTTCCTTAGACTGAAACTGCTTGCCAACTGATTTACTTAGCACTGTATGAGCCTTATGGGCTTAGCACTTCCCATGATACAGTAATAACAATAATAATAATAGTAATAAAGCTCAGTATAACATTCAAAGATAGTATTGGTTATGAGCTACTGTTAAATTCCATTTCAGATCATCTTTGGACCCATGTTTTCTGGAAAGACAACAGAACTAATGAGACGCCTTAAACGATACCAGATTAGTAAACACAAGTGTCTTATCATCAAGTATGCAAATGACATAAGGTAAGAATGTGATTTTAAAAATTATCTTTTATTTTTTTTCTGAATGTGGTATAGGTTAGAAAATATTTATTTATTACACATCGGCTGTTTCCCACCAAGGCAGGGTGGCCTGAAAAATAAAAATTTTCACCATCATTCACTCTATCACTGTCTTGCCAGAGGCATGCCTACACTACAGTTACAAAACCGCAACATTAACACCCCTCCAGAGTGCCGGCATTGTACTTCCCATCTCCAGGAATCGAGTTTAGCCTGCCTGTTTCCCTGAATCCCTTCATAAATGTTACCTTGCTTACACTCCAACAGCGCGTCAAGTCCTAAAAACCATATGTCTCCATTCGCTCCTAACACGCTCACGCACACTTGCTGGAAGTCCAAGCCCCTCCCTCACAAAACCTCCTTTACCCCCTCCTTCCAACCTTTCCTAGGCCTATCCCTACCCTGCCTTCCCTCCACTACAGATTTTTACACTCTTGAAGTCATTCTATTTTGTTCCGTCCGCTCTACATGTCCAAACCATCTCAATAACCCCTCCTCAGCCCTCTGGATAATAGTTTTAGTAATCCCGCACCTCCTCCTAATCTCCAAACTATGGATTCACTGCATTATATTCACACCACACATTGCCCTCAGACATGACATCTCCACTGCCTCCAGCCTTCTCCTTGTTGCAATATTCACAACCCATGCCTCGCATCCTCACACTTAACTATACTCTCATACATTCCCCTCTTTGCTTTCATGTGTAAAGTTCTTTGTCTCCACAGACTCCTCAGTGCACCACTCGCCTTTTTCCCCTCGTTAATTCTGTGATTCACTTCATCCTTCATAGACCCATGTGCTGACACATCCACTCCCAAATATCTGAACACATTCACCTCCTCCACACTCTCTCCCTCCAGTCTTCCATTACCTAATTTTTTGGATATCCTCATCATCTTGCTCTTTCCTATATTCACTTTTAATTTCCTTCTTTTTACATACCCTTCTAAATGCATCAACCAACCTCTGCAACTTCTCTTCAGAATCTCCCAAAAGCACAGTGTCATCAGCAAAGAGCAACTGTGACAACTCCCACTTCATGTTAGATTCTTTATCCTTTAACCCCACACCTCTTGCCAACACTCGAGCATTCACTTCTCTTACAACTCCATCTATAAATGTATTGAACAACCATGGTGACATCACACATCCCTGTCTAAGGCCTACTTTTACTGGAAAATAATCTCCCTCTCCCCTACATGCTTTAACCTGAGCCTCATTATCCACTTAAAAACTTTTCACTGCTTTCAATAACCTACCTCCTATTCCATACATTTGCAGCATCTGCTACATTGCCTCCCTATCCACCCTATCATATGCTTTTTCCAAATCCATAAATGCCACAAATACCTTGCTACCCTTATCTAAATACTGTTCACTTGTATGTTTCACTGCAAACACTTGATCTGCACACCCCCTACCCTTTCTAATGCCTCCTTGTTCATCCGCTATCTTCCTCTTAATTCTTTCAATAATAACTCTACCATACACTATAATTTTTACACTCTTTTGTTCCCTTTGCCTTTATACAAAGGAACTATGCATGCTCTCTGCCAATCCCTAGGTACCTTACTCTTCCATACAGTTATTAAATAAAAACACTAACCACTCCAATACTATATCCCCACCTTTTAACATTTGTGTCTTTATCCCATCAATCCCAGCTGCTTTACTCCCTTTCACTCTATTCACTGCCCCATACATTTCCCCCACACTCACAACTGGTTCTTCCTTACTCCTATGTTATTCCTCCTTGCCCTATACAAGAAATCACAGTTTCCCTATCTTCAACATTTAAAAATTCTTCAAAATATTCCCTCCATCTTCCCAATACATCTAATCTCTATTTAATAACTCTCCTCTCCTATTTTTAACTAATAAATCCATTCTCTCCCTAGGCTTTCTCAACTTATTAATCTCACTCCAAAACTTTTTCTTATTTTCAACCAAATTTGTTAATAACATCTCACCCACCCTCTCATTTGCTATCCTTTTACATTCCATCACCACTCTCTTAACCTCTCTTTTTCTCTCCATATACTCCTCCCTCCTGCATCACTTCTACTTCGCAAAAACCTCTCATATGCTAACATTTTCTCTCTTACTACTCTCTTTACATCATCATTCCACCAATCACTCTTCTTCCCTCCCACACCCACTTTCCTGTAACCACAAACTTCTGCTGAACACTTGAACACTATATTTGTAAACTTACCCCATACATCTTCTACCCCATTGCCTATACTCTCACTAGCCCATCTGTCCTCCAACAGTTGTTTATATCTTACCCAAACTGCCTTCTCCTCTAGTTTATAAATCTTCACTTCTCTTTTACTTGCTGTTTCCATTCTCCTTGTATACCATCTACCTTTTACTTTCACTGTAGCTACAACTAAAAAGTGATCTGATATATCTGTGGCCCCTCTATAAACATGTACATCCTAAAGTCTACCCAACAGTTTTATCTACCAATACGTCCAACAAACTACTGTCATTTCACCCTGCATCATATCTTGTATACTTATTTATCCTATAACCAATCCCCTTTCTATACAAAGTTCAATCAAATGCTCCCCATTATCCATTTACACCTGGCACCCCAAACTCACTTACCACACCCTCTCTAGTCGCTTCTACTACCTTAGCATTTAGGTCCCCTACCACGATTACTCTCACTTGGCTCAAAAGTTCCTACACACTCACTTAACATCTCCCAAAATCTCTCTTTCCTCTACACTCTTCTCTACTCCAGGTGCATACACACTTATTATGGCCCAGTGGCTAACGCGACGGTCTGGAGTTTTGAGACTCATCGCAGGTTATCCCACCCATGGTATGGCTTATTTTAATCTACATATTCCTTGAATTTATACATTTATATTCCCTCTTCTCTCCATAACTGATCTTTCAACATTATTCCTACCCCTTCCTTAGCTCTCACTCTCTCAGATACTCCTGACTTAATCTCATTTATTTCACCCCACTGAAACTCCCCTACCTGCTTCAGCTTTGTTTCAGTTAGGGCTAGGACATTCAACTTCTTTTCATACATAACATTAGCAATCATCTCTTTCTTATCATCCGCACTACATCCACTCACGTTCAAACATCCTAATTTTATAAAGTTTTTCTTTTCCTTGTTTTTAGTAATTTATATAGAAGGAGTTACTAGCTCATTGCTCCCAGCATTTAGTCGCCTCTTACGACACTCATAGCTTACAGAGGAAGAATTCTGTTCCACTTCCCCATGGAGATAAGCAGAAATAACAAGAACAAGAACTAGGAAGAAAATAGAAGAAAACCCAGAGGGTTAGTATATATATGCTTGTATGTACATGCATGTGTAGTGTAACCTAAGTGTAAGTAGAAGTAGTAAGACATACCTGCAACCTTGCATGTTTATGAGACCGAAAAAGAGGTTAGAAAAACACTAACGACATTTTATTGAAGTAAAATAATTTATACTTCAGATCAATACATGGTCATCCTGCATATGTGGAAAATATGGCAAGTATGCAAATACGTTTTTTTTTTTTTTTTTTTAAATATTGTACTAAATGGACGTGCTCTACATTTACTTTCTTAAAATATTTCTTATAAGTACCTTTTTAATTTTTTTTTTCCATAAATGTCATTATCTAGGGAACAGTGTATATACCTCTTAAAAGAATTTATATTGATCTCATTTGATGTATATTGATGATTTTTATCGCTGCTTCATTGAACCTTAATTTTCAGATATGATGCAAATGGCATCACAACTCACGACAAGCAAATCCTTCCTGCAGTTTCTGCAACTGTGTTGAAAGATCTGAAGGAAAGTGCTTTGGAATATAGTGTCATTGGAGTAGATGAAGGACAGTTTGTAAGTGTTTGCCTGTTTTTATGTACATAGTGAATGATGATGAATGTAGGCACTTGTGTACATTTTGTACACCTATATACAGTATATGCACACATTAATCTGTTGACATTATTCCATTTAACTTTTAACTATTTATTTTGGCACCTGTCTCCTCCTCCATAATTCTTTGAGGAACCTTCCACTGTTTGTTTTTTTCTCTGATGTTCCCTTACACAGTATATTTTACTCTATACAGTATCATACCTTTCTTTTCCTCTGCTTTCATGCCCGAAATGTTGTGCATCTTGTGGGCAAAGAAATTTTTAATGTTTTTACTTTTTTTTGGGGGGGGGGGGGGAAGGAAGGATAACCCTTACAAATAGCAATCTAGGATAACCCAATAAAGTCACTATGGCTTATTTCCATGAGGACTCTTCGATTTTCCCCACACCAGGATGTGACCCACAGCAGTCGTCTAACACCCAGGTACCTAGTTACTGCTAGGTGAATGATCAACAGGTATAAAAACATGCCCTGTATCTCCAGTTGTGGAAGGACTGAACCCAGATCCTTCACATGTCAGTTGAAGGCATTACCACTTGAACCACACACTGTATACATGCTTAAAATTGTTGACAAAACATTCCCTGCATTTTATATATTTCACACAAGTATTTAAAGAAATTGACTGCCTAATTTTTAGAAGCTTTTATTGTTATCCATGTAAAGAAATATTAAATTTTTATGAACAAGTCACAAAAGCCAGGAGAATGACTAGGTGAATACTGAAAACTTTCATAACAAGGGAGAGAATGCCAGTGGTGAGACTTCAAATCTCTTATCTCTTGCTTCGAGTATTATTCAGGGTTGATGGCTTCATACAAGGCTGGAGAGAGATCAGAGCTGGAATCGATATAGAGATCATTTACTTCCTGCATATAGCCAATAAAGCATTTAAATTACTGAGGACACCTTAGTCATCAATAATGTGTGTGGAAGGTTCCTGAGGGCATAGTCTAAAAATCTGCACAGTACAGTTATAACATACTGGAGTGAAAGATATTGAGAGAAATTGTAAAATAAACCCATAATAAAGCAGGGGCACCATGAGCAC